GTAATAAATAGATTGTTGTGAAGTGTGAAAAATCATCAATTATTACTTGATAATATTTTTCATTTTTACTTGTAGGTGTTCTCACAGGACCTCCAATGTCAGTGTGTAAAAACTCTCCAATTCTTCTTGACCTTGGTAAATTTTGTTTCTCAAATGGCTGTCTTGTTGCTTTCCCTTCTCTACATGGACCACATACTGTCTCAGATGTTGGCAGATTTAGTTTCTCCATATATTGTTCTGATATATGTCCAAGCCTTCTATGCTATAATACTCCTGAGTTTGATGTATTACTTGACAGATTACAAACTTTATCTGAGAGTCTAAATACTGCAACATACAAATTTTTTACTGACATGCAATGAACGGATACTTTATTTCCCTGTATAATAGCTTTTTCATAGTCGAATATAACTCTATTGCCTTTTTCATTAATTCTTTTTACTGATAGTAAGTTATTTTGTTAGTTGTGGGACAATTAAAGCTGTTAAATGGATATTTACTTTTCCATAGTGTACTAACATCTTACCTTTTCTATTAGCAATAAGAATATTCCCATTGGCTACTCGAATTTGTACTTAATTTTTTAGGTTTTCTGGTCTGTAACTCCACTATCTAAAATAAAAGTTACTTGTGATTGCAACTCCTTTTCTTGTACATTCATTGTTTCTGATGTTAAAACTTCACTAATATCTATCAATTCTTCATTTAGATTCTCATTGCTCTTAGTTACATAAGCCTGCCTTGTGGGATGGAACCCTCTTCCTCGATTAAACTGTCCACTTCTGCCTCTTCTTGGATACCTTCCTCGAAATTCTCTATAAGTACCTCTAAATGAATGTCCCTCATTATTTACTTTTTTTGTACAGTTTTTAATAAAATGTCCTTGTTCACCACATCCATAACACTTATTATGTCCTTGTACTTGTCCTTGATACTGTCTCTCTACACTAAATGCACAGTCTTTGTTCACTGCTGTAGTATTATTGTCTTTTTGGGAATCCTTTAATTTTAATTCAGCATCTAATAATCTGCTTTTTACAAATTCCATAGAAATTTCACTCGTTACAGTTTCTATAGCTGTAATCACATTATTGTATTTCTCAGGCATTGTTAGAAGTAAATAACACACTTTATCTGAGTCATCTGTAGCTCCTGCTGCTTCTAACTCTCAGCAACCCTTCTACCTTTGAGAAATGATCTTGCAAATTTTCAGTTGTACATTTCATTTTTAACAATTTTTTCATTATAAATAACTTAGAAAATGTACTTTTTCTTTAGAAAACATTCCTTAAATACTCAAACATATCTCTAGCAGTCTTTGCATCCTTTATGTACTCTATATGTTGATCTGCGATACATTGTACTATAATACATTTGGCTTTTGTATCATTCTTCTTGAATTTATTTTGTTGTTCCTGACTTAATGTGGCAAACTCTGAGTCTGTCATGTCCAATTCTTCTTTTATACCATCCTTGTCCAGTAACACTTCTACCCTGAATTTCCAATTGGGGAAATTCGTTCCAGTTAATTGGGGCAATGGTAACAGAGACATTTTTTCTTTATTTCTTGACTGTCTCCTAACCTTAAAATCGTTTTTACCACTTTTTCGTTACAATTTCAATTTTTCTTCACTAATCACCAATTTTCTTAAATTTAAACACAAATAAAACACTTTTTTGTGTAAAAGTTGCAGACTCATCTGTTTATTATTCTTAACCTCACTAAAAAAAAAAAACATAGGCTCAACAACTCATAGGCTTCCTCTCTTCCAGTTTTGTAAATATGTTCTGTGTTGGATGCGGCTTTAGCCACCAACTTTATGCTGATAACAGCATGAACACTTATTTTTATGTATAACTATTATACTTAGGCATGTCGCATATGACGATATTTTCCTGTGCCATTTGGTAAGTTTTTGATGAATATATGCATATTTTTGTAACTTGTAGAACTTATGCTGATGATGGATCTATGATAGATCCGAAACATGTACAACCCCCCTTCCAACTGATTATATTTTTGTAAAATAAAGAGTGAAGATAGACTGAGTGTTTTACTCCAGTTCTTTAAAAAAAAAAGTTACAGAGGGCATTTGACAGAACCCATCTAAGTGTTTTCTTTTGAACATAAAGTGATCTTTTCTATATGCAACACATATAATTTACACTCGGTTGATTTAACTAGACATGCGTGGCGTTCGACAGAATGTGAGTTGTGCGTCGCGCCCTGCCCTAACCGTACCTTTAGCTTTAGGGCGAATTCTCATGGGCGTAAGTTGACATTTCTGGCGTAATCACGTGATAAAATGGACGGGTTTCATTGGAAAAATATTTGACATATTGGAGATTTTACCAATCAAATTACACCATATTATCACGTGATTACGCCAGAAATGTCAACTTACGCTCATGAGAACTCGCCCGTAATCGTACCTTATTCTACGTGTATAGAGATTTTTTCAAAGCTACCGATGCAAGGTGAAAGTCTGGTATTCCAAGGATTTTCTGATATTATTGATTAATTGATAAAACGCCTTGTTGAGGTTTGATAAGTAAATCTTCAGTTTTTTGCGAAATAATTTTTACTTCTTCAGAAATTACTTTTATGGATCGTAACAGTGACTCCTTTGCTTCGGTTACACACAAAGCAGCTTCAACTTATTCCAATTTTGCTCTTAAAGCCTCCAACGTCAACTCAACAACTTTAAATTTAGTATCAACCATATTGGGCTCCAGATGAAATGTTTCACTTTTCAACAAGAAGGTTCACTTGATTGTGAGAAAACTTCACAAGTTTTTTAAATTTGTATGGGAACAAATTATCATCAATAGAAGATTGTAAAACGAGGAAAAGGAAGAAGTACGCGAAGGATTATTAGACTTTCTATTACAGATATAATTCCAAGTCAATATTCAAAGTGAATCTCACCTATTTCTCATCTGCTTATTCATAGTGATAAATGTTTGATCTGAGCCAATTTCTTGGATAGTTGATGTTGGTAAACTGACGGAACTTGAAGTTACTTCAACCATTAAGCATCAGGCTCAATAATTTCTCGAGATATTTCGCATTTGGCTCAGATTGGTTCCCAAAAATTTGTATGGTTAAACTAATTACTACTAATTAACCCAATAAAATGCATCCTATTTCTCTTGCAGTTTCCCAGCGTTGATTGGCATGACGGCAACGCCGAGACGCGACCTTTTTGATATGCAGATGGTAAATATGCGAGTTTGCGAAATCGTCGGATATTTCATATTTGTCAAGTTAATGTTTGGGTTGTTTATTACACATGCGACTGGCTGCCAGCGACCTAAACGATATTTGGGCGAGGAAACGTGTCGGGAATTAACTGGCTCTATATGTAACATCCAGCTGCTGTATATAGCGTATTTGAACGTTACTGAAAAAGCCCCAAAAGCTTTCCTTCGACGCTGATATATAAAGCGACCTTAATTACATGTTTACATTATTATTTTTTTTATTAGATGGCTGTTGCAGTATGTAAAATTGGCTATGGTTTATTTTTTTCCAATATAGATTTTGGCATTGTCAACTTTGAAACATAAACAATGCCGCTAATGCCGCTTATTGGTCGCTATTGTAAAACTAATGTCAACCTGCAGATACACCTCATTTTGGGACCAATCAGGGTCAAGCGTTATTGTTTATGAAAAGTTTTTTGGATTAATTTTCTCCGCTTTTCCATCCATAGACGCGTTTCGACCTATATCAGGTCTCATCAGTATGGCTAGTACAGTACAGCAAAATTGCGTGTAGTGTTGATTATCGTGTCCTAGATGGCGTTAAGATCAAGATTCGCTCTTCGAAGTTATTGTTTATGTTTCAAAGTTTTCAATGTCAAAATCTATCTTGGGAAAAAATAAAGTGTAGTTTCAGATCCATATAAAACCGAGTAGCCCGGAACTAAAGGTCCGCCCACACAGCGCCGATTTGTGCGGGTAAAGCTAGATACTCTGGGAGCTTGGTACCCAGAGACACTGTTCGAGACATCATCCTGTGACATACAGTTCTTCTTTTGTTCGAGCTTTACTGCTCTAGATCCGCCACCTTAAGTTAAAACAGGGTCACCTCGTAAAGCCACTCGTGGACGGTCTTAGGAATCCCCCTGCTAGGAAGCAGGTTCTGGAGATCGTAGCCTAGTGCACGTCCTATACATCCCACCTTAACCCTTATTACCTTTTTTCTCATGACAAGTTGTGTTACTCAGTGTTGCCAGATGTCAAATTAAAAATTATCAGGATTTGAGAACAAAATTATCAGATTCCAAGAAAAATTATCAGAAAAAGTTTCTGTCAACTTTTTTGACTTTTTATCTCTATTTTCATTTTTCTGGTTCTAGCTGGGACTCTGGGACTAGTGTTTTGGTGCTCGCACCAGTACATCAAAACACTCAAAACCTACCATCTATCCAGCATCTATCATTGATGAAATATATGACCTTTATGTCATTCCAAAAATTCCAAGGTAAACTAATATCGTTGGATAACAAACAATTTAAAAACTAATCATAGAACACAAATGTAATTGTAAGAATATTCTTACAGGATTTCGTTTTTTCTGTGAACATTCCTAGCTTGTAATCATTTTTCCATAGAGTTACTATTTCTATTAAACATCTCTATCGAACACGATACTTATTTTACAGGTCACCAAATCGAAATCAGCATAGTGAATTTTAAACTCGGAAATATCTCGCGCTGGTTTCAAAATCCAATATCTCCAGAGTCTAGAGCCTGCAGCTCTTTATTTTTTTTTCTGCAGTCGATTGGTTCCAAAGGATTTTATTGCATTGTAGATGTACTCTGAATATTTTAACTAGCTTTTATATATTTTTTGATAAAGTTTTGTCATGCGAGGATGAGAGTCGTTTGGGTGAAATAAATTAAAATTCGATAAATAGATATAAAACAATTTTATTACTAATAAATATCACAGATAATTTGATACTAATAAATATAGCACAATACATTTTTGTCCAGTCTACAACATTTTTGAATATTATTTCTACAAAATTTATATACAAATAAAAACTCTATGGTTTTTATTAACAACTAATGAAAATATTTATTATTTTGTGATATAAATACTTTATTTCGCATATGTAAATTTTTAGCCAATACTTACAAATGTTAGCTTTTATTTATTACTATTGTTCGTTCCAAATAATCCTGATAAATATATACTATTCATAGGTCAGAGTATTTTGAATCTTTTTTAGATTTAGAGGCAACAACATTTTAAATGATAGCAGTAAATGGAATTTTAATATTATTATTATTAATGCAAGCAATTTAAATCCTGCACGGTGATTTTGTATGCAAGTATTGGATAAACTAAATAATTTACAATGACAGTTCTTTAGTCGTATAATAATTATACATATTTAACATCTAGTAATTTCTAGTAAAATCCAAAGCGAAATAAAACATCATTTCAATTATATTATAACCAAGAAATACCATGGAAAAAATCAGACATCAAATATAACGAGCTAACTAACTAACTAGGATATTCCAACAATGGCACTTCGTAACAGAAAGGAACAAAGCAAAATGTACGGTAGCTTTGTTTGCTCTGGGGCTTTCTTGACTCCATTCTGACTTCTTACTACAAACAGAAAAGATGTAGATAAAATAATTAATTATAATTTTTTTTTCTATTTCAGGATAAAGCAGTAAAGGAAAAATAATGACCCTTTTAGCAATGTTAAGCTTAGAGATAACTTTTACACTTCACTAAGCTAAAATTTAATTCAATATTCAACAACAATTACATCGACAAAATAGGAGATCAAAGCAAACTTGCCTGCATAATATATGCACGCGTTAAAGGACATTGCAAAATAGATCTCGACATAATTAAAACAATTTCCATGTTACTCTATTTGCACTGTAAACTATCGCTCGTGATCCAATTGACTCGAGTCCCTCGTTCGATATTTACCCTTAACGGAAATTAATTCTAGCACCACAAAGCCAAGCTGTTGACAAGTCATTTCTGACAAATTTTGCTTTAGATTTATTTTATGGTTAATAATTTACCTCTTTGTTGTGGAATAGGATCTTTCGCACTCGCAAGTTCCAGTTGAACTTCTTCTTGGTACACTTCAGGTAATATGGCTATGCAGTGCAAAACCAAACGTCCATTTTCAAAGTGTAAGTCGTTCAGGACAAGTTCTAATGCTAGATCACTCCAGGAACGTTCTGATGATTTTCGGAATGGATAAGGATCGTTTTGTGCCACCTGAATTGTAATTCTTTATTTATTTTGTTTAATGTCAGGTTTTTTCAATACTTACCATTCTATCGTTTAATTTAAACTGTAAAGTCACAGGTGGTCTCGAAGGGGGACTCGAACAATTAGCTCTTAAAAGGTCTCCAGTGTTCATAATATCCCGACCCACACTTATTTTAGGAGACGATTCAGGTAACTCTGTAACAAACTAATTACTTTAATAAAGAAAGTAAAGCTTCAAATTAACTAAAACAAAATGAAAGAAATGTATTATAAACTTACAAAAGCGAAGGCAAAAAAGCAACCACAGTTAATTAATTAAGCTTACCGAAGAGGGAGCTTTGTGTTACATTCAGAAAATTGCTGCAGACACGTATTTTTCTACGAGCTACGTAAACCCTGAATAAATATGTTTTTTCATTGTTACTCCCAAGACAAATATTGATGTTGGAAAAAGAAAAGGATTTATTTGCTGCTGTTAATGACCTAAAGACAAATTTCAGAAAAGAAAAATAAAGCTAAGAGGATTTTGTGATTAAGACTTCATTCTTATTACATTGAATTCATGTTTTAATCCTGTTTTGGTGCATAATTTTTTTGTATATCACCGACATTTTTTGTTTTCAATAAAATTGACCCGCTTTTCTGTCTCTAATCCACAAACCATCTATAAGCGCATTTATAGTGGGCTATTATAGGTGCAGCATCTCTCTATTCCATTATCTACTTACGTATAACTATCATGCTTTGTTGATCCACTCCAGTAACCATATGAGGTAGGTCAGTGGTAACTTCGCAGCTGAAATTGCCGGACAAATTGAACTCGATATTTCGAAGGACCACTTGAGTCGAATTGGAACTGCTCTCCTGCAATAAAAATAGATTTTTATGATATATCAAAATAACGAGGAAGAATACCGGGAATTGTTTCTGCTTATTTCCGAAAAAATAAATAGGGCCAGCTGCGCGATCTATAAAAAGAATGCGGGCGAATCCATAATCGTAACTTTTTTTTTTATGGGCCTGTTAAAATTTATAGAAAATTGTCGAGTTTATATTTCGACTTGGCTCACATGTGGCCCAAGAAACTAATAAGCCGTGTTGACACGGGCAAGGAATTTGCATTATAAAATAGTTAGAGAGCGGCAATCTAAACTAAGAAAATATCTAGCTGCGGGCCTCCCTAGGGAAATAACTTGTTACGAAGTTGAAGCCAACTAAATCGAAAACATAAACTAAAAATCTAAATTTTTAATTATGACATAATCTAGATATTACTTTGGTAAAGATCGGCGTAGGTGTATTTAGCATAAACCTCATTGCCTTTAATATTCTTGCTAACAGAAACTTACGTCAACGGTAATTCCCTCGAACGGGAAAACTTTTGTACTTGGATGCTCGCTGGGGGTGTATCTGTAAAACTCCAACAGCCCTCTGTACCATTTAACCGAATATAAAATGTCGTCTTCTAGCTCGTACGAACATCGTAAAGTGGAATGACTTAAATATTGTACTATTGCCGGCTGGATTGTGAGTTTTACATTTTTCAAAGCTATCGTATCTGAAACAAAGAAAAGATTTAGAAATTTCATATGACATAATTGCAATTTTTGAAAGCTCATCACGCTGTTATGGTATTCAAACTCTGATATTTCTAGAATATGGTGTCTTTTATTCGCTTGGCATCACGATTGCTCCTATTTTCAGAGATTTTTCCTCCTCTAATTGAATGATGTCATCTGTGACTTGCTTTAGCACATTTTCATCATACCCTTTTCAATTTTGCTATGATAGTAACAAATGCAAGCCCTATTACAGAAATTATCCATGTAGGCTTTACATTTTGCCCAACTGATTGTGGACTGTAAATTATGCATTGCTGAATTTTGGTAGTCTTAGCCTTGAAGCCTTAAGGTTTGTTCTCACAAGAGTGTATGACAGTTTGCAAACAATCGCTCAAATAAGTTACCGATTAATCTTGGAACGACAGCATTGAAAACATGTATGGGCGATACTTTCTGTCAGTTTGCAAACTGTCAGAGACTCTTGTGAGAATAGAGCTTTATTGTAACAGTCATTCTTGTTCAGCTCAGTGCACCAGATTGCAAGGTTGTGTGAACCAAATCTCTTTTTTACTACTTTTTTGAATTATTAACCTGGGAATTATTTCATCATTGCTCGTCTTATGCCAATCCTAACTGTGTCAGTTTGACTTGACCCTCACAATCGGTTTTTTCTAAAATTGTAAATTATTGATCATTTTATTTAACTTCCCCTTTTTTCAAAGGATCCTATCCTTGTCTCTAGCTACTTAAATGTTCGTCTATTCAGGTTCAGATTTGGTTGAGAGTACCTACTCTTTTTAAAAATATAGCTGGTGTTTGACAGAGAACTCATTTTCTTTTGACTTATTTTTGGCTTCATGTTTCCCAATCATTTTCTGTGGTTTTCTGGAGTAAATATGGTTGACGAATGACGAAGGATGAATATTCGCCAAAGTTACCTACCCACACGCAACACGAATAAGCCCGAATACCGAATGTTCGCCGAATACACGTAGCGTCTGGGACCGGCTTAACAAGTAGCCTAGCCTTTGGCTATATACCAAAGGCGCCACATTAGGTTATCGTTCATACCAAAACCTGGAGAAATAGGACAGATAAGGCCTATTCGGGTTTGGAAAAAGTACGGTTCTAGAACGGTCCAGAAGAATCGCACAGTTTATTATTGAAACTTGTGATAGTCGAGTCGTTGTTATTTTGTTGATCAATAAACTGGACGATTGTTTTGAACCGTTCTAGAACCGTCCTTTTTCCATACCCGAATAGGCCTCGTGTAACAATTTAAATTTCAGAGCGAGTCTCTCGAACAGTAATTCCGTGGACTAAGTTCACAGGTACGGTGTAGTGTAGACTCGAACATCCGAAAAACCCTAAGCCCAGCTGTTGCAGGTCGCTTTCGTCTAGGAAAAAAGGAGACAATAACTCGAACCTTATTTCTAGGAAAACAGTTTTTATTGTTTTGGATTGGCAATATTCGTGAAAATCTCGAAAAACAGTAGAAAATTTCGGTAATCTCATGGTGCTTGTGGAGTTTTTGGAGGTGGCTCTATAGGAATTTTGCCCCAATGAACTTAGAGAATGTGGTGAAAAGTGGGATTTTTTTTTGTTATGGGAAGAAATAAGATCGAGAACCCAAGGAAAAAATTAACCGATACACATTTATGTAGCAGTGATGGACGCACTTTTTAACCTTTTGGAGCGACCAGTGGCTGAAGTGACAAGAATAAAGTATCTGAGATAAAATATTCTACCCTGCTACAGCACCCAGTTGGCTTTAATTGATATAACCTCAATAGCTCAGGTAATTGACTGTGTATCGAAAAATAGAAAATGCCAATTTATTAAAGAATAAGTATCATCCACCACCCAGAATTTCATCTTTGGATCAAGGCTTGGTGTATGATAGCGAATCTTCCAGTTCAGTGCCACTGACTGTTCAGGTGTTGGAGAGCCCTTTTCATACGGAGACAGTTAGGCAGGTCCCCAGAAGTCCAAATAATTCGTCAAGGAATGGAAGACCTTTTAATGGAACTCCAAACCCAAACAGACAACAGTTCAAAGCCAAAACTACTGGAATGGAGGATAGTATGAAATGTTGGAATTGTAACCAACCTAATCATATTTTTAAAAATTGTACAGGTAAGAGGCGTACCTTTTGCTTCCGATGTGGTAAGCAGGATAAAACAGTAAAAACTTGTTCTTGTTCAAAAAACCACTAAGGCAGGCGCATGATTTTGGCCGGTATGCGTTTAGAAATTTCAACGCCGATAGTTCTGCATTGGATGCAAGGAAATATTTTTCGGAAAGAGATTCGAGGAAGTGGCTTGCATTCGTAAAGGAGTTTCATCGGAAATCGAGTCGTCCTTGCTCTGTGGCTCCATTGTTCGTTGCTAAGCCTTTGGATAATCGACCATTTGTTGAAATTGCTATTTTTGACGAACCTTTTGCTGTATTATTGGATAGTGGCGCAGCTCAGTCGGTGTTAGGCAGCAAGGCTTTAAGTGTTTTGGACCGATTTAATTTGAAACTGGAACAATGTCTGGAAAATAATTTTTTGACGGCGGACGGAAAACCGCAGGAGGTTATTGGATCGATTTATTTGCCTATTCAAGCAGATAATTTGTGTAGAGTACTACGCATACTCGTAGTGCCTTCCTTGAGACAATCAATAATTTTGGGAAGTGATTTTTGCAGAGAATTTGGAATTCAGATTGACTTTAGGGCTGGTTCTTGGCATGTCTGTAGTCATATTAACAAACCTAACTTTGCTGTTAGGAACAAAACAACATTTGAAAAGGAAAATCAATTTATCTGTAGTATTGGGCACTTGACAGAGGATCAAGTTGAAAGGATGAAAAGAATTCAAGAGAGTTTTGGTGAAATTAGTTTTACGGACAGATTGGGCCGGACTGACAGAATGGAGTTTCACATTGATACCGGAGACGCAAAGCCTTTCCCAACACGACAGTATCCGCTTTTACCATATCTGATGGATGTTCTGAATAGGGAATTAGATGAAATGCTCAAGCTAGAAGTAGTCGAACCGTCTCACAGTCCATGGAGCTCTCCAGTCCTTTTAGTAAAGAAAGATTCTGGTGAATATAGGTTTTGTTATGATGGGCGCATGCTCAATAAGATTACCAAGCCAGATGCCTAAGACTCCTAAGAGTGGATAAGATATTGTCATTGTTGAAGGGAGCAAAATTTGTAACATCGATAGACTTGAGAAAGGCTTTTTGGCAAATACTATTGACAGATGATAGCAAAGAGAAAACGGCGTTTTCCGTGCCAGGCAGGGGACTTTTCCAGTTTAATGTAGTGCCTTTTGGTCTGAGAAACTCTGCACTATGCCAGCAACGGTTGATGGATCTTATATTGTCACCAGAGCTAGAACCACATTTATTTTGTTACTTGGATGACATTATTATTATTTCTGCCACCTTTGATGAGCATATAAAAATTCTATCGGATGTGTTGTCAAGGCTTAAGGATGCCAACCTTACAGCTAATATGGATAAATGTAAATTTTTCAAGGATTCTCTTAAGTACTTAGGTTTTGTTGTGGACTCTCAAGGTCTGCGTACGGACAGCGATAAGGTAGCTGCAATGGTTAATTTTTCCAGACCAACAACGACTACTGAAGTAAAGCGTTTTGTTGGGACAGCATCGTGGTATCGTAGATTTATCAATTAGTTCTCTTCTTTAGTATCGCCACTAAATGACCTTTTAAAGGGAAGAAAGAAGGGACAATCTATAAAATGGACTTACCAAAAATCATTTTAAATGTTGAAACAAGCATTGATGTCTGCACCAATTTTGCGAAGTCCTGACTTCACCAAACCTTTCATAGTCCAGTGTGACGCATCAATGGAGGTTTCTGTTACAAACAATTGATTCTGAAGAAGTGGTAATAGCTTATGCCAGCAGATCACTGTCAAGAACTGAGAGAAATTAGGTACTCCACCACTGAACAGGAATGCCTGGCCGTTATTTTCAGCATACAAAAGTTTAGACCCTATATTGAAGGAACCCATTTCACAGTTGTAACTGACCACTATTCATTTTTATGGTTAAATAACATCAAGGAGCCAACAGGCCGAATTGCACGATGGGCGGTTCAACTCCAACAGTTTGATTTTAATCTGGTCCACAGAAAAGGTACATAGAATGTAGTACCAGATTTCCTATCTAGGATACCTGGAGAAATTAAACAAGATCCAAGAATTACCGAAATCAATAATTCAGGTCTTTATATAGATATCAGTCTAGAGGACCTTGATGTTTTTTATTTGAAAATGCATAAGGCCATACGTGAAAAACCGGATGACTTTCCAAATTGGACTGTAAGGGAAGAATTTGTTTCGAAGTATATCCCCTCAAGAATCTCCGTGAAATCCAACCTCACGCCATGGAAAATGTTTGTGCCTAAGTAGAAAATCAAGAAGATTATCGAGAAGTTTCATAATCCTGCTACTGCTGCTCATTTTGGTTTTTATAAAATTTTATGCCGGATCCGTGAATTATATTACTGCAATAAAATGCGCCCAGATATTTTTAAAGTATGTGAGGCAGTGTAATTCTCAAAAGATGTCCACTCATACTCGACAGGGATTGATGGGATCAGAAAAAACAGTCAATTTTCCTTTTCAAATAATCGCTTTAGACTTGATGGGGCCATTTCCAAGAAGTCGTTCTGGGAACACCTATATTTTGGCCGTTGCCGACTGGTTTTCAAAATACACCCTTCTATGCCCGTTGAGAAAGGCTGACGCTTCAAGAATATGCAAATTCCTGGAAAGAGAAGTTTTTCTCGTTTATGGAGTTCCACAATTAATTATAATATGCGATAATGGCACCCAGTTTGCTGGAAAGATGTTGAGGACCTTGGCTGAGAAATATGAAGTCCAGAAGATATGGTTTAAAGCCCGTTATCATGCTTAGGCCAATTTTGTAGAACGCACGAATAAGACAATTGGAACTGCCATTTGGAGCTATATTAAGGACGATCATAAAGAATGGGATAAGAATCTGGCGGAAATTCAGTATGCGCTAAATTCGGCTTGTCATGAGGTTGCATCGTTCCCACCCTCATTTTTGGTTTTTGGTCGCAATGTTCCTATTAGTGGAAAATATTATGGTGAAGTCCAATCTCTAAAGATATAGAACTTTTACCTGGAGATCGCGTTGAATTTTGCGATAGTCTAAAGGAAGTTTCGAATGTTTTTGAGAGTGTAAAGCTTAAGCTTAGTTAAGCTTATGCGCGGAATTCTCGGACGTATAATTTGAGAAGAAGAGATTTCTCGTATAATGTGGGAGATAAGGTATAGAAGCGCAAGTGCTTTCGGATGCAGCTAACAAATTTTCTGCTAAATTAGCCAAGAAATATGTGCTATGTAAGATTATTGGAAAGGGTTCCCGGCTGACATACCAGTCGGTAAATATTGATGGTTCTAATGCCGGCCCTTGGCATGTGCAGGATTTGAAATCCTATTTTGGATCGAATTCCGATGTGTCAGTTGGAGACTAAAGGCAGTAGTATTCAATCTTTAGTCAGATTTGTGGGTGGTTGAAGAATTTTTTTTTGGGACATTTCCAATAGTGTTAAGTGTTTAATATTCGCCGAATAGAATTAGGGGACCCTTTAGCTATTTAAGTTAAATCAGCAGTTACGTTCTTATATTTAGTTAGTACTTAATGATCGTAGATGTCAGAACCTTGTCAGAGGTCAGATTCGAGCTGAAGTATCCTTGAGGCTTAGTGGAATTTACCATTTTTTTCTTCTACCTAATCATGGAATTATCGAAACAGACTTACCGATAGTAGACTCCAAATTAAGATCTGGCGGGTAATACACGTAGTTATCAGGGCTAACTAAGTGTGCTCAAAGAGATACTGTCTCGAATTGTGATCTGAACCAGAGGTGGTCATAATTTTCTCTCATGGTTTTGTTTAAATTTTTCCTTTTTCTTTTTTTCTTTGGAAAGGGGCGGTGTAACAATTTAAATTTCAGAGCGAGTCCCTCGAACAGTAATTCCGTGGACTAAGATCACAAGAGAATAGTACGGTGTAGTGTAGACTCGAACATCCGAAAAACCCTAAGCCCAGTTGTTGCAGGTCGCCTTCGTCTAGGAAAAAAGAAGACAATAAGACCCCTCCAGAAGATGAAATCCATCTTCTCTGGCCCCGTTGAGCCCTGTGTGTAATATCCTTGTGAGTGTCCTGTCCTGAGTGAGCTGTAAGCCAAGCTGGCTATTCATCGGCCGAAGTATCTGCCAGATGGTTGGATTGTTGCCCATGCTTTTGAGTTGATATGAACCCGATGCTGATTATAGAATTGGTAACACACTGAATAACCATATTATTTTCGTTTGGGCACATATATTAATATTTTCTGAATTTCTCCAACTTTTAACAATAGCTTTCACCTCTTATTTAACATGTTCACACCAATTGATAAATGCTACCATTGCTGTGTTGGTATAATAAATAAGAAAAAATTAAAGCTCAAGTAAATTAATATTAGGTCTATTTCTTCAGAAATCACAAACGAGTCAGAGCGAATTTCATTGGTTGAAAACAGTCAGAAACAGTCAGAAAACTAGTTTCAACCAATAAAATTCACTCTGACTGGTTTGTGATTTCTGCAGAAACAAACCTATAATCTTTGAAATGACAAATTTGAATTGTGAATTGCTACAGCAAATCATTCACAGAGTTATATAATTGCACAGTGAAAAATATGTAATAATATGTATATTATGTTTGGATCGTTTTGAAGTGCCATTTCTTTTGATATTGCTTAGGTAATGATGACTCACTTTAATGAATTTATATTGGTTGTGTGCGCATTTGTGGATCCATAAATGAGGCCCAATGTTTTCTAGAGCCTTTAAATTAAGAAAGGGTGCGGATTTTTTTTATAACTATTCCAAATTGGTATTGTTTTGGTATATAATAGTTTTCAGGTAATTTCGCTATGTAACTATAGAGCTGTCGTACACGAGTTGTTGGAAAATGAAATTATCCGAGAGTCCAACTCGCCCTATGCCAGACCCATTCTGCTGGTAAAGAAAAAAAATGGAGAAGAGAGACTATGTGTTGACTACCGGGCATTGAACAGGAAAACGGTCAAAGACAACTACCCACTACCACGAATAGACTATTTTTTGGATAGACTAAAGGGTTGTCGCTACTTTACTAGCTTAGACTTGGCTTCAGGCTATCACCAAATCGCTATAGATGAAGACTTTATACCGAAAACCGCTTTCGTGACACCTGAAGACCATTATGAGTACTTGCGGATGCCATTTGGGTTAGTAAACGCTCCAGCTGTCTTCCAACGCACCATGAATGAGGTACTTGGAACTTTCCGTTTTACGACAGCATACCTGGATGATATCCTAATACCAGTTTCAAACGCAGAAGACTGCCTAAAAGGATTAGAGGTAGTGTTAGACCTGATAAAAGCATCGGGTATGACACTCCGACTTGATAAGTGTCATTTTTTGTATGGTACTATATCGTATTTAGGTCATGAAATAAGTGGTGAAGGCATCAAACCTGAAAAAGAAAAGATCCAAGTAGTTGCCTCATTCCCAACACTCACTAACGTACACGAGGTTCATCAGTTTCTGGGTCTAAGTAGTTATTTTCGTAAATATATTTACAACTTTGCCTTTATTGCAAAACCTTTTTGCAATTTGAAAAAAAAAAATCATTTTTGTTTGGTCGGATGACGAAAAAACGTTCGTTTGAAGACTTGAAGCAAAACCTAGCTTTACGACTGCTGCTTGCGATATACGATCCTGATGCCCTGACAGAATAACACACAGATGCGAGTAAATTAGGCATAGGAGGCATTCCCTACAAACCTAGCCAAATGGAGAATTAAAACCTGTACAATACTTTAGCCGATCAACGACCAATGAGGAGAAGAACTACCATTTGTACGAGCTAAAGTAGGTAGTGACGTAATGAATTCGTTGAAGAAGTTTAGAACCTATCTTATTGATATAAAGCTTAAAACAGTAACAGACTGCAACGCTTTGCATACCACACTCACCAAATGAGACATAATTTTAAGAATTGGAAGGTGGTGGTTGTCAACCCAAGAATTTGATTTCACTATCGAGTATCGTGGATCCGATATTAAATAGTGGAGATCCGGAGTGTGCAGAAGTACCTATGCTACACTGTCTGCACAACTCACTGACAAACGTTGCCAGGAGTTGTACAAGAGCCTAACAGAAGTACCGGTTACTCCAGATGATAAAAGAGTCCATGAGGAGTACCTGCTAAAGGAAAATAGAATTTATGAGAAGACCCCCAAAGGTAGATGATGGGTGGTACCAAAAGCGGCGAGTCCTACCACGAGGGTGCAGGACATCCAGGAGCTGATAAAACGTTGGAATCCATACAAAGGCGATATTGGTTTCCAGCTATGCGCAAGTAGTGTATTAATCAATCCCAGAAATTGAGGTAAATTATTAATTGAAAATTAATGCCTCGAAAATACCCCTCTATTGGACAACATATTTAGTCCGTCTAGAAAGTATATGGTCAACATTTTCTTTGAAATTCTAGCCATCGTCAGTTGATAAATGCTGCAGATTATACGAACACGTATCTCTTAGATAAAAAAGGAAAACACAGAATATCCAGAATATATTTTTGCATACAAAAAGTTGAATTAATTTTAGTTAGAAATAAAACCATTAAGGCGTTTTTATCTGAAATTGAAATCTTAATTCGATGTTTTATTGGAAAACTTTTGTCGACCCTATATTATTCTTTTTCTTCGCCCGGTCGTTCCCCAAGAGTTTAATTGTATCCGTTTGATTTCCTAAAGACAAATGCTGATACATTTTTCTTCAAATTGGCACAAAATTTGCATGAAACGAAAGTTTTAAGTAAACATTTAAGATAAGATTCGAGAGAAAACGGAAAAATTACATTTAAAATAAAAGCAAAAATGTTACAGTAATCAACGAATTAAAAGAATAATCTTGATAAGCGGAAAACTTTTAAGTTCTTTGCTAGCGTATCTTCTTGCTACTGAGAATTTTCTAATTCCAAAAAATAGAAACTAGCTTGTTATCTGATTTCTGTCTAGTTTGCTTCAAGAATTGATATATAATCAGGTCCTTTATAAAATAGCATTTTTTTGTTAAACACCAGCCAGATTAGGCATAGGTACTTAATCCGTGCAGGAAATTAATATACCTACTCCTACTAGCAAGTTTTTTAATCCCAATACCGCTCAATCTCGTTGTATTAAAATTCAGGTAAATAACTCGCTTTAGGAATTCCATTTTATTCGAAATTTTAATTTAAAATTCTCATCTCGAAATTTATTACGGAACAGTAGAATATACAACCACCATTCTTTCAGCTAAATGCACTAAATTTTGGGCCATAAAAGGGAATAATAAAAGTGCAAAACTTGCAGCAGTATAGGTATATAAGATTTAGCGTTTATTTGAAGATAGTAATTAAGTTAATGGAGTCAGTTAACTCAAAGTTAGTAAGAAGTTTAAAATCACTATATAATAATAATATGTGAAGTTCTACTAACCTTTAAATTTAAAAAATACAACAAAAACAGTAATTATCCAGTACTTAACGAGCATGATAACCATCTCATATCACTTAACGACCGCGAAAAAAAAACGAGTGCACTCGTTACAAAACACCAACCACTCAAACACGCACGGAATTCCTATTTAGCTCTTCCTCTGTAATTAAGAAGGCTTCTCGAATCAAAATTTAGGTCTAGCGCTTGGCTCCGCGACGGAAAACAAACCGAAAGCCCGATATAGTGGCATCCAGGTTTACGTGCGCATCCAGTATAAACGCCGGGATGGAATAAAACGAAAGAACGATCATCCAGAGTATCGTGCAAAGTGTGTCGAGCAACATAGAATAAGGCAATCGGTGGGTGGGTTATTGCGCATGATTTATAGCCTCTTAAATTTCGAGCTTGATTTGAAAATGAGGCTTGAGGGAAAATAATTGAGCTAATTTTTTTTCTTTTTGAAACAGTAATTTACTTTCAATAGGGGTGTTCCAGAAAGAGTTTTCAGATATTGGTAGATTGGAAGTTTTCTAATTCCAATAAGTACATCTTGCACAAAAAAAGTTTTCGACTAAAGGTTGAAATTTGATCAGCGACCTTTTGAAAGTGGGTGATAGAGGAAAACTTCGAAGCTCACTGGAAAAAGGCATGGAGAGAGAAATCAGAAGTAGATGACATTATCAGAAAATTTATCTGATGGCGAATCAAAATGGGCACTAAAGAAAATTTGCATATTGCAGTAAAATTTGAACTTTTATCAGCACTTGATTGCCTCTAGAAAAATTCCTCACTGAATCATGAGCCGATAATCGAAAACTGGATGTGAAATAAGATAAACCTGGCTCTTGATTAATATACTGGAAAAGTTATCTAGCCAATCGGCAGTGAAGAAAACTTGCATGTTATAGCAAAATTGAAACTTTTACAGGCTCTTGATTGCCTTTAGAAAAATTTTCTACTGAATCAAGAGCCGCTAACAATCAAAAATTGAATGTGAAAGTTGAATTTGGCGCTTGATTATCTACTACTAGGAAAGTTATCTGGCGAATCACAATGAGCAGTGAAGAAAATTTGCATTTGGCACCAAAATTTGAACTTCTACCTGCACTTGATTGCCTTTAGAAAAATTCTCCAGTGAATCAAGAGCCGGTAATAATCAAAAACTTGATGTGAAAGCTAAACCTGGTTCTTGATTAATATACTGGAAAAGTTATCTAGCGAATCGGCAGTGAAGAAAAGAATCAAGATCAGGTAACAATCAAAAATTGAATGTTAAAGCTAAATTTGGATCCTGATTGCCTCCTAAATAATTATCTAGCGAATCAAAAGCCGGTAATAATTAAAATTTGAATGTCTAAGCTAAATTTGGACATTTACAGGCTCAATGCTGACGTCACGAATTGACCCGTTTACGCAGCACGATGTACTTAATACTTGTAATTGCTGTACTTCATAGTACTCCTTCTAACCCACAAACTTTCAAGTATATGTCCTGATATTTTTTCTGTATTTTCTGAGTGGTTACTAATACTTCCCAGTGTTTCATGATAACTTCTTGTATTTCCCAATAATTTCCTTGTACCCCTATGCTACATTAATGAAAGAAATTCCATTCCTACTTATTTCCAGGAAGGTAGGCAATTTTTCAATTATTTCTTTGAAATTCCTCATTGGTATATACAGAGCTGTCAGAAAAAAGTATCTTAGTTACTTTTTAAAAGGAGCTGTAACTTGTATCTTGAAAAAGTATCTTGGATACCAAAAAGTATCTCAGATATTTAGTTAAAAGCATCTTAGATACTGAAAACTATCTTAGATACTGAGAAAAATAGGTATCTAAGTTAACAAAAAGTATTAAATTGCAGTAAACAAAAGTTCCTTGAGTCGTTTACCCAAACCACAAACCCGACCCAACAAGATAAGACTAGTTCAAATAGTAGGTAATAGGTAGATAGTAGGTCCGTTCTGTTCTCAAGAGTCTCTGACAATTTGTAAACTGTCAGTAAGCATCGCCCACGTACAGTTGCGATCAAAAAAAAGTAGTACGAAAACTATTAACCACAATTCGAGCTCCCGGTGTAACATACAAAATTTTGACAGGCAATGACGGTTAAAAACGGGTGGAAAAATGCCAAAGTAATGTCATCTGAAGCTTTCTAGGTTAAAAACTTTTCGAAAAATGCCAAAAATATGTCACTTTTGGTTATGAATTTAATTAATGTATAATAGACCAGGAGATTTTGGAATTTTTTCTTGTACTATTTTTTTTTTTGATCGCAACTGTACATATTTTCAATGCCGTCATTCAGGCCTATTATGTATCATTCTCTGTTATTTTAATAGCAACGTTAAGTTATCTGTCATTGTTTATTCTATACGTCAAAATAGAGACGGCAATAGATGTTTAGCCATAACACAGCCGTTAAAATATCAGGACCGGATACATCATAGGCCTTATTAACTGTATTCCTTTTATACCTCAAGTTACACCGAACGTGTCGCTCTAGAGCTCCTCGCAGTCACTCCAAAACACAAAATTCAGATATTATCAATATTTTTTAATATTAACATTACCTAAAAGGGCTTCTTGCAACCCACGCAAATTTAGTGCATCAGGAGAAAGGGGGATCCACTATGAGCGACTCGAGTGCTTAACGCACTTTTAAAAGGAACGTTCAAGCTTTTGACATTGAGCAGCTCCAAGGAACTCAACAGGTGAAAGGAATATAGTAATTGCCGTCGCTCCAAAATAAATCGGTTACTTAGCTGACCTGACAGATTGTTTCTGACAGGTTGCAAACTGTCAGAGACTCCTGTGAGAACAGACCTTACGGGATTTCTGCGAGTTGGCTCTGTTCCAACCGACATGAGAACCGTTCTAGAACGGTAATTTCCAGTCGATCAATTCATTTGTCAAGTAGGATAAACGTTCAACTTATAAAAAATGGGTTGGCAACTGGAAATTACTGGTTCTGGAACGGTTCCATTGTCGGTTGGAACAGAGCATCATATATTAAGAAATGTTTGGCCAGTAAAGCTGAAGTACTATGTACATGAAAAGTCATGATAATATCCCGATTCCTGTTTATAAGGAAAATATTGTCGACAATTGTTTTTTTCGAATTTGAGGAAAACAGTGTTCATGTGGAGCAATCCACCGATATGAGAAGCTGTAATGGTTTGAAGATCCTACAATAAGAGAAGAATTGAACCTTCTCGAATTTGGGATTTCCAAACTATGAAAATTTTGTTCGAAAATCGGTTTTTCCGCCTGCTATTCGGAAATAATAATAAAGTATCTTATTAAGTATCTTGAAAAGTAACTTAAGATACGTATTTAAGATCCTTTTTTTAATAAGTAACCTAATACCCAAAGTAACTTCAGATACTTTTTCCAAAAGTAACTTATCTTGTAACTAGATACCTACTTTTCAAAAATATCTTTGACAGCTCTGGGTATATATAGGCTTGAGAGAAAATTATTTTTGAATTAAATTTTCTGTGTTGTGAACAGAACCGGCACAAGTAGATTACGAAAGTACTTGAAGTACAAGTATAAAGTAAATATATTTAATAGATTTACTTGAAGTACTAGTATAAATTTTTCAGAATTACACTTTGATTATCAAGTAAACTTGAAATATACTTAAATTTCATCAAGTAATTTACTTCAAGTAAAAACATTGAGCTTTAAGTAGGTAAAGTGTCTTTACTTGAATTATATTTCAGTAGAAAAATCAAGATTTTTGAAAATAAATTTTCAAATTAAAGAAATTCTAGACGTGTGTCAAATCAAAGATTTTTGAAATTTCTTTGTAAGTAATTAACACTGTGGTGAAGCTTTGGTAAAAACACTTGTGTTTTCCAAAGAAATTACAGAAATCTTTTATATTTTAGTAGTTGAAGTATGTAAAATACTTTAAATAAATTACTTGAATAGCAATACTTGAGTAATTTTGGTAGGTACTTCAAATATCTAAAATCTGTTCAGGGCATTCTTAATCATTTTTTTAGTTATTCACAATATAAACCGATCCTCATTGCTTAGTAATTTTTTATATTTTTCGTTATAAGGTGCGCCGGTCCGAGTAAAATTTTGTATATCTCAGTTTCAGTTCACAAAATCAAGCAGGACATGATTCCAGAATATTTGATTATATTTAAGCCCATACCTACAGCCTTTACTATTTAAGGCGCGATAATAATTGCCCAGATCTTCGTTGGATATTTGAGCAAATTGTAATAAATTACCTATATATCATTGGAAAGAGCGATAAATTCTCTATAAATCCGTGTAAAATTGAGCTTGATAGCTCAAATAGTTTTTGAGCAATTGAGTATCAAAGTTAGCTTTTAGAATTCAGAGAAAGTACCCTTATGAAAACTCAATTTTATTATTTTTTGGTTTTGCTCAATTTTGACTTTACCAATCGATAAAGCGGATTCAAATTAGTGGAAAACAACCCCGGCATCATTTCTAAATTGCCATTTTAAGCAAAAACAGAAATAAAAAGAAAATCCTATTTTTGACTCTGGAAAATTTTAAAAATCTTAACATGGTCATGAACAATTGCCCATATCTTTATTAAATTCCAAGCAAATTGAAATAAATTATATACCATTGGAAAGAGCATTAAATTTTCTATAAATGCCTGTGATATTGAGTTCGATATCTCAGGAATTTTTTGAGTAATTGAGCCTCAAAGTTGACTTTTTGTCTAAATTTTGTCAAAAACTTCAATTTCAATTTTCTCAGAAACTATAAACCTGGGAATATTGTTAATTCCAGGTCTTTTAGAGCTTATTGAGAGTTATAAATGCTCGAAATTTCAATGCAATTTGCTCAACGGTTACCGAGCAATTGAAGTTTGAATATTTTGAAATCAGAATTCAAATGGGGTACTTAGTACCCTTATGAAAAAGTCGATTTTTTTATTTTTCAGTTTTGCCCAATTTTGACTCTACTAATCGATAGAGTTGGTCAAAATTAGAGAAAAACAAGCCTGACATCATTTCCAAATGGCCATTTTAAGCAAAAACAAAAATAAAAAGGAAATTTTATTTTAGGCTCTGGAAAATTTTCAAAATCTTGACATGGTCATGAGCAATTGCCCATATCTTTGTTAAATTTTGAGTAAATTGAAATAAATTATGTATCATTGGAAAGGAAAATACACTCTCTATAAATTCGTGTAAAATTGAATTTAATAGCTCAAATAGTTTTTGAGTAATTGAGCCTCAAATTTGACTTTTAGTCTAAATTATGTCAAAAACTTCAAACTCAATTTGCTCAAAAACTAT